CAACCCTCCAATAAAAGGGGAAGGCATGCAGTGGGAAGTGTGACGCGTGCTGCTGCTTATATCCACTGGGCTTAGTTAAAGTAAGCAACTAGATAAGATTTCTTGCTTTGATTTCCAAGTCTGTTGTTACTTTGTTCCATCACCTTGGTCAATTCTGTTCTGTTTACCTAGCTGTAAAATGTGTTCCATAATATTTATTTGATCTGCTGTGATTAAATCTTCTGTTATTAGTTTAGGTCCCCTCTGTTCTAGTTATTGTGTACATCTATAAATAAGCAAAGTATCTGCTCCAGAAAAGGTACTGCCTTCATAAATAACGAAGGTGGAGGCACCGAGAAATTCTAGGATGTGTTATGGGAAGTTGGGCAGCTGGGAGCACAGCTAAATAACATGGTCTTTTTTGCAGGAAGGTCAGGAAGTGTTAGGTGTTGCCTAGTAGTTCATGAATAAGTATTTTACCCACTCTTTTTTATGAAAAGGATAACTTCCTTCTTCAATCTGTCAATTAACAATCTTTCAAAAGGACTTTTGGAAATTCCTGAGAACTTCCAAAAGCTATCAAATGAGCCCACTTAAATCATACATGGTTTTTATGGGATCTGTATGAAGAAAAGCATATAAAATAAATTTCAGATAGGAGGAGGATTTAAAAAAAGACATTTATTGAAATACTTTTTTTTTTTTTTTTTTTTTTTTTTACTCTTTAAAGCAAGAGGCAATGTGTTACAAATTATAAAATGAACTAACATTTGCACTTCCTGGAACCGGCTTTAGCAGCCATGTAGATTTATTTAAATACTGTATCAGGAGTCAGATACTATTTCTGATTCAGCTTTAAAGTTAAAAATACAGATGTTCATGACTTGTACTCCAGACAACCCATAACAAAGCTCAGCATTGTTGTTCAGTTCTTAGCAGGGAGCAGTGTAACGATGTACAACCTGTGTTGCTTGAAACCAACTTAAAAATCTATAAAACCAACTATAAAAACCTACGCTGTGTAATGAACCCTCCACAACTCTGTTGTGTTTTGGTGTTGTTTTTGTTGTTGGTTTTGGGTTTTGTTTTTTTGTTGTTTTTTTGTTTTTTGTTTTTTGTTTTTAAGATGTATGTTAGTGTTAGGACAGTATCTCTTTGGTATAAGCAGTAAATACAAATTAAGTCCATCCCTTCCCTGTTCAGTGAAATCATGGCACAGTATTTTGAAATGCTGCCAGTTTCAGGTACAAACAGAAGTGCTGTTAGATCTGGCCTGCTACTGTAAATGTAAACCATTAAAATGGTGATTAATGAGAAATGGATGGAATTCAATCCTGCACAGGAAATTCAAGGACCTAACAGGGAAAGGAGGTATGAATTCATGCCTGACTCTGAGGCCTGACTGTTCTTGAAACTTGATTCTCCTCTGCCTTGGGGTCTGCAAGAAGTTAGGGAAGATCAATAGCATTTGATTGTGTGCAATCGAACAGGCATTGCTAATCACTGGTAATTTGGTTTTGGAACTGCATTCTGCCACCCCCACCCTCTTCTTTTTTCTCAGCTACCAAATTCACTTCACTTTGTTTTGCTTGTGACCTTTTTATCTAACATGCTTCTATGGTTTGTTATTTTCCTTCCTTACCCCCTCATCTAACCTGATGAGGGGGTGCTTTTCACCACTTACACCTCCTTTTCCAAAGAGAGGAATCATCATCAGAGTCCAGGAGAAAAGCTTGTCCAGCATTAAGTGCTAGACTTCAGCTAGGAGATTGAAAGTAAGTGGACTGAAGAGCAGTTTATTTCTGCTTTCTTGAATGTGGGTAAGAGAGAGATTGGAGAGCACTTGTGCCTCAGGGAGACTTGAGAGAATAAGGAAGAGATTTCTGCTGAGCATTTCATTCTGCTATCTGAAAAACTCTGCTTAATCTCATTCTTTCCTGATATATCTTTCATCCTTTTTTGAAATGCTTTTGTTGTTGCCTTCTCAAGACTCACACATTTCTTGGTTATTTTCTTATTTAAAGATCATCATCATCTTCTAATCTTGGTTGATTTAAAGACTGTTAGTTCATTTTTGCCTCACCTTCCTCAGCTATAAATTAGCAACAGAATGTATGCCTGGCTGTTGCTATTCCCTTCAATACATAGAGTGTGTGGCATTACTGCTTCTATGTTGTTACTTACTGGTAATCTTCAATCTACTATCTTACTGTCACAGCAAGGCTCCCCTCTAGACATTCATTCCAGTTGCTCAACAAGAGAAATACTCTTTTGCCCTGTAGTTTGGAAACAAATTGATCTAAGAGCAAAATCTGGCTTGGGATATATTGACATGGATGGCACATTCCTTAATGCTGTATTTATACGATAATAGAAGAGAGTTATGGCACTTAGACAGAAGACCTTTTGAGAGGTTCTTCACCATCACTACCAGAAACAGCACAAGATCATCCTGATCCCACCCAGGTAACTCGCTACTTCAACAGCAGTGCTGTGTTCTGCAGTTGAGTTATAGTTGTGCAACAAAACTGACAAGAAATGAGTAATGTAGTTGGGTTGAATTTCGTTAAGTTGAAGTGTATCATTTTGTTTAAAAAGTTAACGTGGTAACAGATTTTATGTGTGTATTAATGAATAGTTTCAAATTGCTGTAATTGCACAAGATATAAATTACAGTAATTGTGTTCGCTTAAGTCTTTCAGTGGTGATAGTGCCATCATTTCAGTGTCACATTTCTAAGAATTTACTAATTTCTCCTTGTGAGCAATTTTGACGTTTTTATAATGTATCTTAATGTCCATTGCACTTGAGGGAGACAAGTAGCACTTTCAGCAGGATAAAAAGGTACTGAAAAGCATGAGAATTTAGTGCAGATGAATGTGCAAATACAGATACCTCTATCAGAGTAATCCCTCAGATAACCATGAGTCCATTGTGAACTTTTAGAGAGAATTGAGATAATTATGGCAGCGAAAAAAGTTATTTTCCCACAAATTTAAGGGCCAACAGCTATAATATTTACCTCCTGTTTTCACTATAATTAGCATAGCATCTGTAAGCCAAAATGAGAGAGGGGTCTGTTCTGTAACATTGTTCTGGGTGTCGCCCCTCTTGGTGTAGGTAAGGATGGAGAACTGCTTTGCACTGGGGGTAAAATCAGATTCTTACTGCATCAGAGATGTTTTTCTACTTTTGGGATGATGTGTCTAAAATACTTTAAAAATAGAATAAAATAAAAAGTGCTTTGCAGGTCACGAATATTTCCAAGCTTCTCGATTGCTTAGTCAACTCACTGACATCTCTGACCATATCACATTAAATAATAATAATTAATAAATACTTATATGTAATTATGAGAATCATATCAAGAATTATAGAATGGCTTGGATTGGAAGGGAGCTCAAGGATCATAGAGCTCTAATCCCCACTGCAGGCAGGGCCGCCAACCTCCACATTTAATACCAGACCAGGCTGCACAGGGCTCCATCCAACCTGGCCTTGAATACCTCCAGGGACGGGGCATCCACAGCCTCTCTGGGCAGCCTGTGCCAGTATCTCTGCTCTCTTATAGTAAAGAATTTTGAGAAATGGATTTATTGTCCAGTGCAATCTTTATTTCCTCTTAATGACTGGCTCTGTTCATCTGGCACTATGCAAATAACTTTATTATCAGGGAGGAAATCTAACAGCCTTTAAGGCTTAAATTCTGTGAATGATGCCCGCAAGAAACCCCTTAGAAAAACACTTCTGGTGAACTCGGTGGAACTCTTCATGTATCAAAATTATTCACACAGGTGTTTGAGAGTAAACTGGTAGTGTTCCTCTCCCACATTTCTCCTGTTCTTCCATCATGAGAGCAAGCCAGCACATGGACATCAGAGGGCATTTTTTTTTAGTCTAATATGTACTAAATAAGGATTTAGTCTGAACTGAAAAACTACTTTGAATCTTTCCAGAAACTATTAATTCCTGCAAGCTTTTTGAATTTTTCTATTTATTTCATAGCCTTTAGTTCTTGATTTAAATCATCTATAGTGTTCCTCCTAGGTGTGTTTTCTTTCTATTTAATGTTTATAATGTACGCTTATTGCAATTTAACAAACTCTACAGTTAGCTGTATTTTACTTAAAGTGAACTTATTACTTTAAAAAGGTTCTGGAATTGATGACTTACCAGAAAAATAAAAAAGACCTAATGTTATGTCCTAACAAGGCACTGTGGATTTGTTTAGCTGTTCATGCATATTCAGAGCATATGCAATAGCTGCAGAATGCTTATCAAAAGCATAGTATCTGTAAGAGGCTGTCACTATTCCCTAATGTCAGGTTTCTTCACAAGTCACAATTTCTCTTGCAGATCTTTTGCATTGTTTCCCTGTTATACTTTTTATGTATCTACTGCAACTTATGCATTCTTGGTGTTTTGTGGATATATGTTTAATGGATAAATCAAGTATTTTTCCTCAGTTCAGGAAACATGTAGATGTGATACTTGGGGTTCAGTGGGCAGTAATGGTGGTAGGTGGATGATTGGATTTGATCTTAGAGGTCCTTTCCAACCTTAAGCTTAATTCCATGATTTCACATGATATTTTTTTTTCCCACCATCCCCTTGGGTTGTTTTAAGTACACTATCCTATCCTTTATCCTAATGCTAAATTGCAAGCAAACTTCACTTTAATTCAGGCTGTTTTGGAGTCAACTCTATCTGATCCCCAACTGCTTCAAAAGCTGACTGATCTCCCCTATAATTAGGTCTCTTGCAGCACCTTCCTCCTACTTACATGGACAGATGGGGTCCCAGTTGTTTTCCTGTGGTCACTAATGCTACCAAGAGACCCATCTTAATGAAAGCACTTAGATTAATTTGGAATTTTTAATCATGAATTAACACTTGTCAGCTTCAAAGTGTACACTGCTGGGAAATTAATGTCACATCATGTGATACAGATATTTTAAGTCTGCAAAGAAAACTGATTGTTTTCTTTTTTTTTTTTTTTTTTTTTTTTTCCCCCTCCATAGCAAAGGTTAACTGTCTGGACAGCTGTGAGTCAAGCCTTCAAGCCATGCTGCTTTATCTGATTGGTCTCAGACTTGATCTGGCACATGAAAGGAAATGTGAGGAAGTTTCAAGCGGGGATCATTTTGCAAGTCCAGAGCTGAGGGTGAGGTCAAGTTCACTCACATTTTTGGAGTATCACATTTCAAACATCAAGTGCCATGCATATAGCATGACGGTTGGTAGAGCAATGGTTTAAACTACAGGAGATCCATGTTGCTCGAGTATTTTTGTGTTGTTTACCAGAATCAGTGAAATATAGCACAGTAAAGAAACAGCAGTTGCATGTATTTTTTTAAAGGTGGCCCTTCTAGGGAGTAGGCATATGGTGACTTTATCTCCGTTTTGACGTTTAACTCACACAGGTGTTGCCAGCATCTCATGGAGCTGCAGGGTAATGTTAGCATTTAGTTAATGAGTAAGTTCTTATTATTCATGTGACATTAATTTAGCCCACGATGTTACTCCTTTCCTCCTGTGGTGCATTCAGAGCCATGGAGATTGCTGCAAGAATTTATGGGATGGAAAAGCAGATATTTAACAGTGTAATCTATGGGTTTTTTTTAAGCTGTATGGAGTCATGAAGTCATTACTGTTGGAAAAGACTACCAAGATCATCTAGTCTGACCATGAACCCATCACCACCATGCCCAGTAACCATGTCCCTCAGTCCTGCTGACTGCCCTCCTTCCAGACAAGCTCTGTTCCAGACTCAGCCTTAGATCATCACTTCAAAAAACAACAACAACAAAAAGGGACTGAAATGCCTTCTTTCTTTCCTGAAAATGAAAATGCTAATTAAAAATTCCAGGAAATGTAAGATTATAAATTGCAGAATATCTTAATACCTTGCATGCAAATTAGTCCACTGTTCTAATCATGTAAATAAGCACTGTCAAGACATTATGTGAAGGACAAATAATAATGGGCACTTGTCTAATCCTTTTATGATCTTTTTCAGAGTGGTAACGACAGTGGTGCTAAATGTGATGGAGAAGTGATGTGTTGCTAGACAAAACTTGGAGTGACAGGCACTGATCTGTTAGAAATTGTCTACATTTTAATTTTTGAATGCAAAATTCTCTAGGGCTTTGCTTGGTATCGTGGAGTGGGGGCTCTCTCACTTCTCACTTCAGAATTTTATAATGAAACAGGCACAGTCTTGGGATGCTCTCGTCACTTGTATGCTTATCAAGGAGAGCTGTGCACAAGCTGGAACTAAACTAAACCCTTAATGCAAATCCCCACTGTGCCCTGAAAGGAGGATAATAAGAAAAGGAGCATGACTTGTCCTTGTATCTCCCTTGCCTTAACAAGAACAGTAAGGATTTGATGGGGAATAACAATACTTGCATCTTTAGTTATCCTATGGAAATCAATACAAAGTGTGCTCCCACTAAGGGATGTAGCGGCTAAAGGGCTAAATGAACTGAGAACTCCTGCACAATTTTGTCTTGTCCTTTAGAATTCTTTTCATTTTCTAACAGTCTCAAGGTATCCTTGGTTTCTCTGTGCTGTTTTCACCATTTTATCGTGACACCAGAGAACTAAACTTCATGCAGCACCTTATTTCCTACAGAGCTGATCACTCTCTGTCCAGCCTGTTACTGGCTTGATCAGATAGAAATGGATGAGATCAGAGAAGCTGGCAATATTGCTCCTATAACCCTTCCTGATGCTATATTGGGTACTTGAAAATACCAAAGGTCTTATTTAAAGAGCTGTTAAGTCATTATCTTCTTTCCAAGAGAAAAAGGGGTGGTTCCCTTATAATATTCCCTTAAAAGTCTCAGTTTGAAATCACTTTTTGCTACTCTTTGTTTTTTTTTCTTATTTAACATCTACGATATGTTATATTTCACCAAAACAAATCCCTAGCTTTCAACTTTTTCTCATTATTTTGTGTTTTTTTGTGAATAAAGTGAGGAGTGTCTGCCTTTAAGCAGACCTGATTTTCCTTTCCAAGGCAGCGTCTTTCATCATTAACTTTCAAATAGCAAATCAATCATGCTGAAGTGCTGCTCTTTTTATCCTAATTATTTTTCCATTTGCTGTATTTCATATTCTGCATATACGTTAATATACTTCTGGCCTTCTCCTTTAAGAAAAAAAATATATAGTAATACTAATTTATGTCCCTTTCCTTTCAAGCTTCATTAAGGCTGTATTGGTGCTCACCTTTGTGAACGTTTGCCCTTGAAATTTTTAACTCTCATGATAAGCATGCAGTTTTGCTGCTATCGTTAGCCATAAATTAACTGCTTATGTTCAAATTCAGCTCCCTGTTCTCCTGAGGTACAATCAAGAATCCTTCTGCCGCACACCAGAGGAGAAGAGAACCATATCTCAGTATTCTAATATCTGTGCCTCAGTGTGATGTTGTTGCTTATGGTCAAGACTATTTTCTTGCTCTGTCTTGGCTAATGGAAAACTTCTGGATATTTCTGATAGCGTATTCCCCTTGTACAGTATGTGGTAAAATATTCAGACATTCCATGACAGTGGTATCACAATCCTGACTCACAACTGTAGTAAATTCTTGTTACTACCTTCTTAGTTCTTTGTAGCAGATCGTATGTTTAATCTATGAAATCAGACTCTTTTTTGTTGTCATAGCTGGGAATATGCATGAAAAGAATAGCTGTCCAGTAACAGAATCCATTTCAGTGATACCATACTTGTGACTTCACTAATTTGGAGATGTGATGACTGGCTGGCTCTAAGAAGAGTCTGGCAAGCTACAGGTTCTTATTTTGGCCCTTGGGTAAAGTGTCAAGCCTGCTGTGTAAGCATGTGGTGGGCCCTATGAAAGACAATATTGTGTTTGTGTGTAAATCTGCATTTCTAGCTTATTCAGTCAACTGCTTGAGTTTGAAAAGCAAACAAAAAAAAAGGCAAAAAACAAAAGGAAAAAAGTAGGAAAAAACATTTGCAAAGAATAGTCTCTGGCACACTGGTCAAGAAAATCCCAGTAGAGACATGGGTCAGCTGTAAGGAGAAAACATGAAGATGAGAACTAAAGTAAAATTTGACAAGTTGCCCCCTGTAAATCAAATTTATACTTTTGGAATTCTGCACAGGCTGTGGATTTGTACTTGGCACTGCATTCACACACACATGTTCATCTGCTGAATAACGTAGGTTGTTTAGGTGTCTTGGCAAACCTTATTTGTACAGTATGTACAGAAGCATTGCCTCACAGTAACTCACAGTAAAACTGTAACTTAGAATTTTTGTTTCTTTTCTCTCAAGATATGGATGCCTTGTGTTTTGGCATTTGTGGCAATGATGTATGCTTCTCTGAGGTTTTAGAAGATTAATATGAACATCTTTTCACAGGACAAGAGGAGATATCTGTCTTGGTAGCAATCCCTTCAGAAGATGATCTAAAAGATGCTGAATAAGATTTAAAAATCCTAGTCCAAGGGAGGGGGTACCGCAGAATTAAGTAGACCTAGAGGAATTTATTTCTGTTCCAAAAGGCACACAAGACTCTATTACATTGGGAAAACAGCATATTAGTAAGCTCTTATAGGGTCAGTTGTATACTGTATAGGTTGGTAGCGTCTCTTCATAGGCATAGATTGCATCAAGAGACTGATGAAACCCAAATATTTTGATCCCTGATTTTAATTTGTTCTACTTACTGTATTAATTCCTTTGCTAAAGCTATTCAGTAATTTGCACAGAAGTATGCCTGTTCCTTTCTGTTCCTGTCTTGTATGTAGCATAAGAAATAAAGCTTTTTATAAGTGTTTTTTTTTTAAATAGAACATAATACTTTTTTTTTTTTTTAAATAAAAATAAACTCATCCTAGGGTTCTCATAATTTGACAGGCAGTGTTTTGAAAAACAAAGACCGATGGACCCTTGTACTTAAAATTCTTTGTTGCAGTAGTGCAATTTGGTTTAGTCTCAGGTGGTTTGGAACATCTCCTTGCAAAGCATTAGCCTTTTTTTTTCCCCACTGCTAGCTTACAAAGGAATAGATACTAGGTAATATATAACTTAGTGCATGATTTTTTTGCTCGCTACATCTTTCAAACCTGTGGGGCTGGTTTGGATAAATGTGGACTTTCAGGAGGTGTATCTGTATGCAAGACCAGACTGAACAGGGCTCTGAGCAGCTTGATCTGGCTGTAGATGTCCCCATTCAGTATAGGGGAGCTGGACTAGATGGCCATTAATGGTCCCTTCTAACTCAAATAATGCTATGATTCCATTGTTCTGTGTTTCATATTCAGTGATGTAGAATGAACATAACGAGTGGAGAGGTGTTACAGACAATGCTGAGCTGCCGCCTCTGAGCCAGTTGCAACTGATAGTATTCTGCCTATGGCCTTATGTAGGGCTGACTTCTACGTGGGGTGAAAATGAATCTCAAGGCTGATTGTTGGTGACAACATAAATGAACGTCGGGAAATTTAACTCATTATATTGTCTTTTAGGTCTTTGTGTCATCTCTACTGTCAGAATAACAAAAGACTATTTCTCAACACGCTTCAGGTTGGTTTTTTTTTCCTCTTTGTCTTGGCTTATTGTGAGTGTGTCTTAAACCCGAGTGCCCTCTTCTGATCTTGAAGTAGGTGTCAGCTCTTAGCACACCTGTCCCTGTGGCTGCAGCTCAGCAGCCAATTGTTTGAAGTTAGACAAGCATCTGGGGACAGAGATATTTTAATTTGTAATCAGCTTTAAAGCTTTAAAGCCTTCAGCACTTGCTCTGATCAGAAACAGGAGCTTAGGCAGAAATTTGTCTTCCCTACTTATAAAAAACATTTTTCTCCCCTGGCAGGAACCATAGGCTTGATCTGAGTCCACTGAAGTGAAGATAAACCCTTATCAGCTCTGGCCCAGCCCTTAACACAGTGAGTTCCTTGGCCAACAGCCACTTGGGCTGGAGGAAGCATAGTATTACAAGATTTTCAAGGGACAAATACTAATTAAGGATAATCTTGTAGAAAATATTACCTTTTTTTTTGGACATATTTATCTTGGGATATACTGGTAAGAGATAATTCTAAAATTACCAACTTTGGTGGAGGCTTTCCAATGCTACTAAACAAGAGTCAATTTGTGTACATCATCTGGACATACGTATGTTATAGA